AAACTGTGGTTAGCCATGTAGGATCCACCTCCCTTAGCCACTAAGCTTCAGGGCTGGCCCCATCACAGCTTCCGTAATAAAACAGACGCCATCATCATGAATATTGCCCACATCGTTTTGGCAAGAAAGTAATTTTTCAGCTAGACCAGCCGCTATGTGGTCCCCCAAATTCATGGACTGAGATTTGGGCTGTGAAAATATTAGGAGGAGACAATATTGTCATAGTGTGGACAGGTGTCAGCTTCGGGAGTGACAAAGTGGCTTAGTAAGGAGAAAGAATGAGACCAGGAGACACACACGGACAGATGGACCGAGACCTGTGTCCTGCTCTCATGGGGTGATGCCCGCCTGGCCGTGGGCCCACCAACAGGAAAACCCCTCCCAGACGTGGCCCCTGGAACTCCTTACTGGAGCTTCATACACCTCTGTTCCCTCAAGTCAGCCAGACTGTTCTCTGTGATTAGCAACAGAATGGACTTAAACAGCTCTCCTTAGCAGATGTGGAGAACTAAAAGGGGGTGTTTGATAATTATGAGGAGTTTACTCCACGCGACGGCATGGGCTCTGTGCACATTTGTGAGCGACAGTGGGTATGGCATGGGGAAAGATTCCAGAACTCAAAACGAACTTTCCTAAACTCTTCATCCTTTGCCTCTCTGAAAAAGTACAGATAGAGAAAAAAAAAAAAGCTGGAGATGAAAGGAGAGGGAAGAAAGGGAAGGAAATATGTATGAAGAGGGAGGAGTGATGGGGAGAGGAAGATGTATGAGGGGGAGTGACGAAAGATGGGTCAGAGAGTCGCCCCGTTCAGAGACCAGAGGAAGAGCCTCAGTACTCCTAACTTCCACATCAAAAATTATCTCGCGACCAGCAGATGGCGTAACGGTTACCTTGCTGGGCACCCACGTAGTCAACTGTGGTTTGAGTCCTGGAGCTGGTGGCTCAAAAAACTCATGCTGGGTGTGTGTATGGGTGTGTGCCCAAGATCCTGAGAGGAGAATGGAGGAGAAGAGGTTGTGGTGTGGCCATTCCCCCTGGGGGGGGGGATTTCTCACTTTTTGTTTCTTTGTCTCTCTCTGTCTTTCTGGCAAGCACAAGCAAAAACCAACAACAAAAAATTGTTAAAAAATTGTCTTACTGGTTGGGGAAAATATCTCACATACTTAGTACACTAAGTCCGTCAATTCAGTTCCTTTAGTATTTGTGTCTGAGCATGCTCATCGAGCATCTTAGGAGTTCTTTCCAGGAACTCATCCTTGTGAGAAACTACACGTATCCCCCATGCAGACAGCGACAGGTTTTGTCCTCTTGCCACAGACTTCCACAGGGAATTCATGGTCTAAAGAACATTTCCAGTCAGGGACCTGAAAGAAGAGGCTACTGTTTAGTAGGAGAAATCTGGCCGACGACCTACCTTGGATGGGTACAGAGGCCTGGCCAAGGGCAGTAAAGAGAGAGGGCCAGTCCTTCCAGGTGAGAGGAGGCGCCTTGCTTTAGGTCTCCCTTAATGGAGAAGAGACCTGGCGGAGCTGGGACTGCGCTCCCTCTGCGGAAGATGAGGAAACGGGGCTGGGCTGTCTCAGCGGCACGGTGGGGGCTTCTGGCTGAAAATGGGTGGGGCAGAGGGAAAAGGAGCGTATGTACAGCAGCATATATATATATATATTTTTGGAGAGGTTTTTGCTATAGGGCGTGTGCGCTCGCCAGACAGACAGAGACAGAGAGACAGCGAGAAATCACTGCCCAGGGGGGATGACCACGCCGCAATCCCTTCTCCTCCATTCTCCTCTCGGGATCTTGGGTGCACACGCGCCAGGCGTGAATTTAAGCCACTGGGTCCGGGGCTCGAACTGTGGTCGACTACGTGGGAGTCCAGCGACATAGCCATTATGCCAACCGCTGGTCCCAATATCAGGCATTTTTTAAAAAATGCTAATGGCCATTGGTGCTTACGTGTGTGGGAGCACACACACAAATGCCATTCAATTCAATTGCCTTTGCCCTATAAAGAAACGATTTAAAAAGTGATTATAATGTTGATTCTGAAGCACTAGGGCAGTTGAAACAGCCTAACACCAGTAAGACCAAGTTATTTTCAAGATTGTTTTGCCTGCACCTAAATTCTGTGAAATCAACATGTAGGATACATTTTTACTCCAAGTATAGCTCTTCCACTAGAAGGAAAGTACCATAAGGACCAGGTCTATGTTGTCCTGTCACAGGTATTCTCAGCGCAGCACAGTGCCTCACATATAGTTAACCAGAACGTCCAGTCTCCCAGTCATTATGGGTACACTCAGACCTAACTCATTCATTCTAAGAATATTTGTTTGGTACGTAGAGGTGAAGACCACTGTGCTTATTAAAGAACACTGTGCCATATTTGCATTTGTAGCATTAACTTTTTAAAACTGTGAAAACAAGCCAGCCCGTGGCAGGGGTGTTAATGGGGCTGGAGTCCAATGGCTATCTGTGTGGTTTGAGTTCTGGGCACGTCTATGTGCACCTGCCCCAAATCCCAGTAGGATGGGAGGAAAGAGAAGGGATTGCAGCAACCATTCCCCATGGTGGATGCTTTTCGCTCTGCCTCTCTTTGTCTGTCTCTGGTGAGTGCTCGTGCCCTCTGACCAAAAAAAAAAAAAAAACCAAAGAACAAAGAGTAAGACACACTCAACACAAAGACATAAAGAGTAGGGAGAACAGACACCTGCAGTGTGCTATGGCCACCTGACACACACTGCTTTCACTGAGCCTGCTGGGAGATCCACGCTAAACTCTACTCGTACTCATTGATTTTTTTCTGGGTTCTAATGCAGGTTAACATGTTTACCAGATAAACTTCAGTGAGTTACTTAAACTTCTCCTTATTTCTAAATTGGGGCTAATGATATCTACTGATGGTCTGTTTTAAGGATTAAATAAGCTAAAATGCTTAGTAAACTATCAGTTCATTTTCTTTCTTCTCTCCCTTGCCTTGTCAGTATCTGTTTACCTGCTAATCTTCCTCATCAAATCGTGGGGTCCTGACATCCAAGTATTTCTTCATCTTTTATCCCCAGCAAGAACAACAGCTCTTAAACTTAATAAATATTTGCTGAGTAAATGAAGAGCTGAGAGAGTGAAGATTGTATCGCCTATTTATTTGCTAGTCTGTCACCACTTAAGAGGAATCAAGTAGAGCTTTTGCTAGGCTAGCATAAAATTCCGTAGTGATATTACGCACAATCATTCGCTGAGTGGGAAGGCTGTTTAAGTGAAGCAGAGTATGGAGCAAGTAGCCTGCTTTTCACAATAGCTCAGTGTTTTCAGCGATGGGACCTTTCGGAATGCTGGGCACACCCAAGTTTCAGTATGCAAGCACATTCCAAAGTGGAATTTCCATTACTCGTTTTCTTTTCTTCCGGCCTAACGGTCATCTCAGTAATCCGAGGAGCTGCCTGTAAATATCGATAAGCAGGGACATCAGTAATTACCAGACTGCTTCACTCACTTCAGATCGCATTGTACATGTTTCGGGCATTTTCAAGTTGTCGGCCAAAATGAAGAAAAACTCTTTAAGTCCCTGTGACATGTTTGAGATGTTCTTAAAGAGTTCCATTCCGAGTACAAGTTTTCTTCCTCTTCATTGGGTTTTAGGACTTAGCAAAATTTTAGCAAAAATTTTCCCTTTATTTAAATTAGTAATTAAGAAATATGCAAAACCCACCTGGTGAAGGAGTATTTTCTAAACGATTGTGTTACAAAGGATCATAATTAGGAACTGAAAAAAACCCTTTTCATAATAACAATAGTAATCACAGGAAAAATTTGATAAATTCTTGGCCGGACTTGAACCAAAGTTCTGATGGTGGGGGGAGAGGAGCAGCGAGGAACCAGTTTCCTTTGGCTCCAGAAAATTCTAAAACCTTGTGGCATATTTCTAATTTGCTCAAATGCAAGTTTATCAAAAACCCCTAGAAACACTTTTTTATAATCACTGATGATCTATCCTAGACCAGAGCGCAGTCCTTTACATAAAGCAGGGCTTAAATAAATGGCAGCTGATTTCTGATTCACCCTGGGAGCTCCTAGTTCTAGGCCCTGTCCCTGCCACAGCCCAACACAAACACCAAAGTCAAATCCCCTTCACTCAACTTTAAACACGCCTTAAAGCGGAGCAAAGCGGCAGGAAAACCGGAGGGCTCAGTAAGCGGCGGGGACATAATCTGGGAAGGCACTGATTTAAACAGAAAGGATTTGCTGGCACTTCAGTTGATTTGTGGGGAAAATTCACCCAAACTTCCTTCAAGAAACGCTCTGTTTACCGAGTAAACAAGCGGTCGTCACAGAAACACCTGCTAAGGCCAGAAGCGTTTCGGAAGCGCCACCGCCACCTCGCGGCCACATCCGGGCACCTCGCTACAACTTCCCGACGTCCCGACGTCCCAGCGGTTGGGCTTATTTGAAACAGAGTCCCAGCCAATCAATGAGCGCCGGCGGGGAGGCGGGCCGAAGGCAGTGACCAATCAGCGTCCCGCCAGAGACATCAGCCTATGGGAAGAAAGTTGACATCACGCTCCAATCCGCATGGCTCTTAGAGAGAGCGGCTCGGTTTTTGAACTGGCTGTGGCGGCCACCGGCCAGGAATGGCGGCGTCCGTGAGAGTCGGAGTTGGAGCTTGACGCGGTGGAACTCTCGGGTTTTGTCTTTTTTTTTTAGCTTAGTGGTAAGTAAGGACTCTGGTATGGCGCGGGAAGGGGGAGCGGGCGAGCGTCTGCAGAGCCGGGGGCTCCTCTGCCCGCCCTCTGCTCCCGGCCCTCCCAGCGGAGCGAGGCGGGCGCGAACCCGCGGGCGCCGGGGCTGCCGGGCATCTTCGGCCTCGCGGGGTCGGAGCGCTCTCCGGAAGTGTCTGCGGGTGCAGGGGCAGCGGGAAAGGCTGGCTCTGCGCCTCCGCGGGCGGCAGCCGCAGCCCTCCCGGCTTATCAGAGTACTGCTGGTTTCCCGGTGGGGCTGTGCCTGGGCTGTTCCCTGCAGGAAGTTAACTTTGTCATATTTAAGGATAAGCCTGGCTGTCCTCTTGCCCTCCACCCACTCCCGGCCTCAGATGTCTGTGGTTGAAAGCGCAGCCTGTGGGATCAGCTGGGCTTTGATTTTCTGTTTGACGCTTTCCAACAGTGTGACTTAGGGGAAGTTGCTTAGCCTGTTTCTGGGTTTCTCCACCTGCAACGTGGGGATAATAACAGCCCCTGCCTCCTAGGATTACTGCGAAGACTAAGAGCAAGCTAAAGGGGTAAGACAGAGTCGCATATTAAACATGAGCCAAATATTAATTGTTCCTCCTAATGTTACTAATTATACTAACGACTTGTCCCCTATTGCATTTTGGTCCTTCACTCTGAAATATGATTGTTTTAAAAACATGAGTACATGGAAACCTGAAGTTAGTATTTGATTAAAGGACAGGTTTTCTCTTCGGGTTTAAAAAGGGGCATGTGTATTTAGTCAAAATCTTGAGTTTGTTTTTGGTTGGGAAGTAAGCTGGGAACACTGACCCTATTGTGTGGCTTTTGAAAGTTTCTGGAGTCGATGTCAAAATGATTGGTGTATCTCAGTTTGTTCTTCAGACTTAGATGTGACTTGTGTCATCGATTTACCATGCACCTCTTTTTGTTTATAAAGTTTCAAGCTGTTTTGCCAATAAATTGATCGTGTAAGTATTATCAGGGACAATTTTCTTATTAATTACTTGGGCTTTAAAACTTTTTTTATTTTTTTATTTTTTTAAAGTTTTTTTGCAATAGGGTGCATGTACTCACCAGAGACTGAGAGGGAAGGTGAGACCACCCTCCCCCAGGGCAATGGCCACACTGCAATCCCTTTACTCTATTGTCCTCCTGAGATTTTAGCCAGGGATGCAAACACACCCAGGTGATTTTCAAGCGACTGGGTCCAGAACTTGAACCATGTGAGAGTCCAGCGCCTTAACCACCACTCTACCTGCTGGCCCCAGTCACCTGTATTTATTTATTTTTAGAGGTTTTGTGTGTGTGTGTGTGTTTTGTTTTTGTTATAGGGTGGGTATGCTCGCTAGAGAGACAGAGAGAAAGCAAGGAATCACCCGTGGGAAGATGGCCATGCTGTAATCCTTTCTCCATTCTCCTCTCAGGGCTTTAGGCACACACACATACTTGCCCGGCCTGGCACTTGTATTTGTAATGCAATCAGAATGTTTTCTTTATTCACGATAGCACATATGTGTATGAGAGAGAGAAAAAGAGAAAGCGTGTGTGAGCGGAAGCTCCTCACACGGGGTCTGGGTATGGCAGTCCCAAGCCCCGTCCTCCAGTTCTCAGTCCTGTGGCTCTTGAGCAGCGGTGTGTGATCTTGCCTGCTTGCCTGGAGGGTTTCAGATGAACTGGACCGGGACTCAACGGCTGGCCTCATGGGATCCAGCTTCTCTTGAGATGCTCATTACTACTGCCAAGGATCTGGTCTAATCATCCGTTCTGGTGGCCTTTAAGCGGGAGGCGTAAGAAAAACATGTTAACTCAGATGGTATTTTTGATTTTTTTTTTGGAGAGGTTTTTGCTATAGGGCATGTGTACTTGCCAGAAAGAGACAGCGAGATAGAAAGCAAGAAATCACACTCCAGGGGGTATGGCCACGCTACAATCCTTCTCCATTCTCCTCTCAGGATCTTGGGCACGCACACGGACGTGCCCTGCGTGAGTTTAAGCCACTGGGTCCGGGACTCGGACCGTAGTCGACTACATGGGAGTCCAGCGACATAGCCATTACTCCATCTGCTGGCCCCGGTATTTTGATGTATTAAAATCCCTCTTCCTTCAATTCTTAAAGCAGGTTTAGTTCTTCTCTTGCCTTTGTTGGTACACATTCTTTTGTAGGGATTTGAATGAAAGCCTATTTAGAGCCTTTCCTTTTTACTGGAAGTGATTGCACGTAGGAGACTTAGATGAGCAAATAATGAAGGCTAGAGAGACTCGATTACTGGTCTAAATAAAGACTCAGTGATAGCTATTGCAGCACTCCTTTGGAGATTGACATGGATGTTTGGTAAGACAATAAGAAGTACCCACCTTGTCAGTATTGTATGATAATAGTGATTGGCACCCATCTGAAGACAGCTATTCAGTTTCATCACAACTGGATTGAAGTGGTACTGAACACATTTCACCGGTGTGGGAACTGGGGTTGAACCGGTAAGTGCAGAGCTGAGCCCAGAAGCTGAATCTCCTGACCTTTGCAATGTCTGACTGTCAAGCTGCTGAGCGTGGAGCTTGGGTCTGCTACTGTTGGGCACGTTTCCACAGTGCTCGTGTCACACCCAGGACCGATGATGCTGCGGTCCTGCTTTTCCAGTGCACAATTCGAACTGCTGAGAATATGGAGGAGGATGAAGATGTATTTGTATGTGAGGGGATTTTGAAAGTTTACCCAAAAAATATACTTAAAATGGGAGTTTATTTTTGATTTTGAACTATGCATAGACTTTTTTTATGATGCTCATTTTAAGAAAACTTTTCTTTTTTTGAGAGGTTTTTGCTATAGGGCGGTCGCATGTGCTCGCCAGACAGACAGAGATATATCTTGGGCACGCATGCACACGCACCCGGCGTGAGTTTTAAGCCGCCGGCCGCGGTCGACTATGTGGGAGTCCAGTGACATAGCCATTACGCTAACTGCTGGTTCCCTTAAGGGAAAAAAAGAAAAAAGAAAACATTTTTAAGACTACTTCATATTTACTAGTCTGAAGACATAAGAAAAGGATAAGGTAGAACAGAGCCTCTAGATAAAGGTAGGGCGTACTCTTTTTTTCTTTTTTCTTTTTTTTTTTTGAGAGGTTTTCGCTATAGGGCGTGTGCGCTTGCCAGACAGAGACAGAGAGAGACAGCGAGAAATCACCCCCCAGGGGGGATGGTCATGCTGCAATCCCTTCTCCTCCATTCTCCTCTTGGGATCTTGGGCACGCACGCACATGCGCCCGGCGTGAGTTTTAAGCCACCGGGTCCGGGACGCGAACCGAGGTCAACTACGTGGGAGTCCAGCGACATAGCCATTACGCTAACTGCTGGTTCCCATGCTAGGGCTTACTCTTTACATTTACCTGTTTTTAGAATTTACTTTAAGATAATTACCTTATATAATAGGCCCAATTTGAACCAATGAAAATCTATTGAATTTTTTCTTTATTTCCTGTTTGCCTAACTTTTGAAATTTAAACAGAGTTTTTTGTTTTTTTTTTTCATAGTTCAGAGTTATATTGGCTCTAGCTCATGCAAATTGTCTTGTCCAATCTTACAGAGAGATATTTGCAAAGTAGTATGAAATATTGGTAAGGTAACAGTTCAGTTATGCATGAGGTTCGGAGAAATCCATAGAGGACGAATCAGGAGTGGTGGATTGGGAATTGGAAGATATACTAGATGGAGAATTGAGCATTATTAAATGCAAGTAGGTGTAAAGTAAATTGTGATTCTTATTTTAAAGATGAGTACTGTATTGTCACTAGAGCATGTGAACTCAGGGTCGTGGGACAGAATAGGTAGAGTGGGACCAAATTGTAAACTTGGTGGTGAACCAGACGTAACTTATAAGGAAGGGTATCCCCAGCAGTTCTTAAGCAGGAGATGGGACTTCATTTGCTTTTAGGACCGTAATCCTGAAATCCATGAGGAGAGTGATTCTGAATAAACTGGTGATAAAGTTGTTTGGATCTGCTGTATTAGACCAAGTGGCCATCATGAGGTGGTTTTAGAGAAGAAGGGCTTAGTTCCAGAGATAAATAAGATAGGATCAGTAGAAATTTTGCAGAGGAGGAGTGAAGTAGAGGAAAGAGTAAGGAAGGGTTTCAAGTTTTTGGCTAGAATTTTTGTGGGGTAGCTGTGTGTCAATGGGGTATTGACTGAATTCAGAAAGAGAAATAGGTTGGTTTAGGGCAAAGGTGTTGAAGAGGCAGGCAGAATAATTATGATGACATTTTGTAAATTAATTTATTAATGTAACAATTGGAATGATTTTATTTCAGTACATACAGTGTGCAGTCGGTCAGGACAATGAATATGCTGGTTATCTCAGCCACTTGTGACATCATATACAGTGAGTTCTGGCCATATCCTCACTGTATTTTTAACATTAGACATTGCTCTTTCTGTCTGCAATTTCGTTTCCATTGATCACCGTCTCTCTCTTCCTGTCCCCATCGTTCTCATTCTCCGGTAGTCATTCTGCATTTCTCCGCTTCTATGAGGTCGTTTTTTCCAATTTCCACATATGAGGGAGGACATGGTTTTTTCTTTTTCTGTAACTGGCTTATTTCACTTAACATAATGTTCTTCAGACTTACCCATTTGAATTCAAATGGCTGGATTTCACCCTTTTTAATGGTTGCGTAGTATTTCATCGTGTGTGTGTGTGTGTGTTAGTGTTACAATATTTTTACCCATTTGTTGATGGACACAGGCTGCTTCCATGTCTTGACTATTGTGAGTGATGCTGTAGTGTGTTTTTATGACATACTGATTTCCTTTCCTTTGAATATATGCCTAGTAGGATTGCTAGATTATATGGCAGTTCTATTTTTATTTATTTTTGGAGAGGTTTTTGCTATAGGGTGTGTGTGCTCGCCAGAAAAACAGAGAAGACAGAGAGACAGAAAGCCAGACAGAGGGGATGGCCACCGCAATCCCTTCTCTATTCTCCTCTCCGGGATCTTGGGCATGCACACACACGCTCCTGGCATGAGTTTAAGCCACCAGGTCCGGGACTCGAACTCTGGTTAACTACATGGGAGTCCAGCGACATAGCCATTACGCCAGCTTCTGTATTTTTAGTTTCTTGAGGAATCTCCATACTGTTTTCCATAATGGCGGTATTTACATTTCCCTAACAATGTAAAAGAGTACCCTCTTCTCTGAATCCTTGCCAGCATTTGTTACTTTTTGATGATAGCTATTCTAACTAGGGAGAGATGCTATTTCCTTGTGATTTTTGATTTGCATTTTCCTAATGGTTAATGATGTCGAGCATTTCCATGTTTGTTGGCCATTTATATAGCTTCTTTTGAAAACTGTTCAGGTAATTTGACCATTTAAAAAAAGTGGGATATTTGGTTTTGTTTGCTGCTAAATTGTTTGAGTTCCTTGTATATTCTGGTTATTAATCTCTTGTCGGATAGATAGTGTGCAAACATTTTCTCTCATTCTGTGGGTTGTTTCTTCACTATTTGTTTCCTTGCTGTGCGGAAGCATCCATATTTGCTGTTGTTGCCTGTGCTTTTACGGTTTTATTCAAGAACTCTTTGACCATATCAATGTTCTGATGAGTTCCCCCCTTCTTTATTTTTATTCTTTTAGTAACTTTATAGTTTCAGGTTTTATGTCTGTAATTGGTTTGAAGTTGATTTTCGGATATGGTGAGAAATAGAGGTCTGTGTCATTCCTCTGCATTTGGATTTCTGGTCTCCCCAGTGCCATTAGTTGCCGAGTCTGCCTTTTCCCCAGTGGATGTTCTTGAGTCCTTTATCAGAAGTCAGCTGGGGGACCAGCAGTTAGCATAATGGCTATGTTACTGGACTCCCACGTAGTCGACCTTTAGATTCCTGGACCCAGTGGCTTAAACTCACGCTGGGTGCGTGTGCGTGCCCAAGATCCCGAGAGGAAAATGGAGGAGGAGGGATTGCGGCGTGACCATCCCCCCCGGGGGATGATTTCTCGCTTTCTGTCTCTCTGTCTCTATCTTTCTGGTGAGTGCATGTGCCCTATAGCAAAAACCTCACCCCCCCCCAAAAAAAAAGTCAGGTGACTGTGTACACATGGATTTATTTCTGGGTTCTCTGTTGTTGGTCTGTGTCGTTTTTCTGCCAGTACCGTGCTGTTTTTGTTACTATGGCTTTATAGGATATTTATAAATCCAGTAGTATGATGCTGAGAACTCTATTTTTTCTGCTTAAGATTGTTTTAGCTATATCAAGGTCTTTGGAGATTCCATACAAATTTTATAATTATATTTTCTATTCCTGTATCATTGGTATCTTGATAGGTACCACACTGATTTGGCAGTATAGAATTTTTCCCCTTAAAGATGATTTAATTTTATTTTTTATTATTTTAAAAATTTGCTGTAGGGCATGTGTGCTCACGAGATAGAAAGCCACCAGGTTTGAAACTCAGACTGCAGTAAGCCATGTGGGAGTCCAGTGTCTCAACCAGCATGCCATGGACTCTTCCATGCTGGGCCCTAGTATAGAAATTTTAACACTACTGATTTTTCCAATCCTTTAACATGTTTTTTTTCTTTTCTTTTTGAGAGAGTTTTTTGCTATAGGGCACGTGTGTTAGCCAGAGAGACAGAAAGCGAGAAATCCTCCCCCACCCAGGGGATGGCCACGCCACAATCCCTTCTCCTCCTTTCTCCTCCCAGGGTCTTGGGCACGCACGCACACGCACCTGGCATGAGTTTAAGCCACTGGGTCCGGGACTCGAACTGTGGTCGACTACATGGGAGTCCAGCAACATGGCCATTATGCCAACTGCTGGTCCCAAACATGGTGTTTTCTTTGCATTCAATTTGTTTTAGTTTTCACTATAGAGCTCTTTCACCTTGTTGGTTCAATTTATTCTTAGGTATTTTACTATTTGTTTGTTATTGTCAGAGGAATTGTTTTTTAAAATTTCTTATTCAGCTATTTTGTTACTGGTGTATAAAAATGCTGTTGATTTTCTTTTTCTTTTTTAAAATTCCCAGAAGGCACATATGTTCACTGGAGAGAGAAAAGCAGGGAGAGGAGAAAGCACCACTCAATGGGGCGTGGCCATGCGGCGGTCCCTTCTCCACTTTCCCATCCTTTCGGGATTTTGAGCTGGCATTTTAAAAAAAAATTTTTTTTTTTTAGAATTATTTTATTTTACTTTATTCATCTATTTGTTTGTTTATTTTTAATTTGACCAAAGAGAAAAAGTGAGAAAGCAAGCCGCCAGTTCTGGGATCTGAACCGCAGTGGGCCATGTCTGAGTCCAGTGCCCTTAACCACCATGCCGCCTGCCAGCCGAAGCGGCGTGTTTTTAAGCTACTAGGCCTGGGATTTGAAATATGGTCTGCCATGTAGATAGAATCTCACTCTTAACTGCTAGGTTATCGGTCTGGCTCAATGCCACTGACTTTTTTAATACTGATTTTGTATCCTACAACTTTACTGAATTTGCTTATTTGTTCCAAGAGTTTTCTTGTTTTGTTTTGTTTTTGTTGTGTGTTTGTGTGTGTGTGTGGAGTCTTTAGGGTTTTATGTATATAAGATAATATCTGCAAACAGGGTTGTTTGACAGATTTCCTCCTTTCCAATTTGGATACTCTTTGTTGCTTCCTCTTATTCAGTTTCTCTGGCTAGAGCATAGATTACATGTTAAGTGTTTATATATGTCAGGTAATATTCTCTGTGTTTTCAACACATTATATTAATTTTACTGTATCCCTGTGACTGAGATATTAGTATCTTTATTTTACAGAAAAGGAAGTAAGCTCAGAAGTTGAATGAGTTTGGATCAATACTAAGAAAAATGGGTTATAATAATGGCAAGAGAATTTAAGGAAAATAGGCAATAATTCTAGGTAAAAAAGTATGCTTCTGATTCTTTTACCCACAGTTATCTTTATTTCATGTGTTTTTATTTCAAATTATGTTTTTTCAGCCCACTGTAGTATAAAAGTACAAACAATGGCCGACAACAGTGTATTAATATCTGCTGCTGGGAGGACTAGCTTGGCAGACTCTTCCATTTTTGATTCTAAAGTTACTGAAACTTCCAAAGAAAACTTATTTATTGCATCTACTTCATATGTTGAAGGTAAACTCATTATCTGCTGTAAAAGCCCAAATTGCTTTTTTAATCTTAAACTTACTAATGGCTTTCTTATGATTTACTGTAATACCAGTTGTTATGGTAGAGCATAGGTATTGAGTAATTATTTGTTGACAGTCTCTTTACACTGTGTAGATTTTATGATTATCATTTGAATTAATGCTTGCAACTTTGAAAAAGGGAAAGCATCTTAATGTTGGAAATTCTTTTTCTGTATGAGGGCCATCTAGCTATAACATTTTAATTAGAATTTATTCACTTATGGCTGTTATTACTGATGAGTCGAAGAGCCATTTCTTCTATCCCTTTATGTAAACAGACCTTTCCTGAAGTTGTATCCACTGTTGGAAAGGTTGGCTATGCAAGGTTGTGAATGCTTGTATATGGGCTACTTAAGCCTTCTAAAGGGATATATGGCCCTTTTTTCATTTTTAACTGTCTGAGGATGTATGCACTTGTGAAAGAGAGAGCGAGTGCTTGCATATTCCCCCAGTCGAGCATGGTCTCACTGAAGTCCTTTTTCTTGCATTTCTCCATCCCACCAAGATTTCGGGCATACCCGTACGTATTTTTCAGGCCACCGATGCTGGGCTTTGAACTGTAGTTGTTGGCTATGTGGGATTGGGCTCCCTGTGCACAGTGCTTATTTGCTGTGCTGTAAGGTCGGCCCCCACCCCCCTGCTCTTTGTTCTCATGAGGGAGCTAGAGAGATGTTTTTGACAGCATCTTATCACACCACCGTCCTCCCACTGTACGATTGCAGGCTGGTGCCACTTTACCTTTCCTGTTCAGATTGGCTCGGGGTCTGAACTGGGCCTTTTTTGTGGCTCCACAATCACAGAGTGACACCCTACTACTTGCCCCACCATGGTGGCTGGCCAAGTATTTTTTTTTTTTAATAAACTGAGAAGTCTTTTAGAGAATGCGTGATTTCCCTTAAAGATAGGAAACATACCAAATGTAGCCAACAAAGAGATCAGGAACTACTGATTATGACACTACCTGTAAACTACTCAAACATTTTAAATTTTAACAGAAGAAATGCCTCAGATTGAAACAAGAGTGATACTGGTTCAAGAAGCTGGAAAACAAGAAGAACTTATAAAAGCCTTAAAGGTATTGAGTTTTGTTTTTTATTATTTTTTTAAGCTGTTTTTCTTCCATGAGTGTGTAAATAGTTTTCATAGATTTCTTAACCTCATACTTAAGTCTCTTTTTCACAGACTATTAAAATAATGGAAGTCCCTGTTATAAAGATAAAAGAAAGTCGTCCTGGGAAATCGGATGACAAGTTACTAAGAAGTGTGGTTAATATGGTAGGTCATCCACCCCCTTGCATGTGGCATGCTGCACTTCCCTTGACGGTAACTGGAATGGGATCTGGCACAAGGTCCACAAGACTACATGAACAGGAACGGTTTTATACACATTTAAAAATCGGGGGTTTCTGAAAGCTAAAACCATAGCACATATTTTAAATAATGCTAAATTACTTTATGAAGATGCTATTAAATTTAAATGACAGACATGTACAAAGATTTGATTATTTAAACTCTTCTTTAGTCTCATTAATTTTATATTTGGGCTAAATTCTTTCTGTACTTCCAAAGTTATAAATCACAATAACTGACAATCGTAAGGGAGTTTGTCTTAGTATATGCACTATATCTGATTTTCTAAACCAGCTATTTTAGTTTACTGGGATGACTATCACAAAATACCATTTACTGGGTAGTTTCAGGAACAGATTGACCGTCCCAGGGGCTAGAAATCCAAGGCTAAGGCGACCACGTCCCAGCTCTCTCGGTCTCTCTGCTTGGTTTGCAGATGGCTTCTTCCTTGCTGTGTCCTCACGTGGTATTTCTTCTCTGTGTGCTTCTGTCCCTGGTGTTTCTGTCTGTCTAAATTTCCTCTATAAGGACATGAGTCAGATTGGGTCAGGGCCCATCCATGTGACCTCATTTAACCTTAGCTTCTGCTTTAAAGTGATATTTCCAAGGAAGATGACAAATGTCATTTGCCATTTAGGTTAGAATATACAAAATACAAATTTTTAGGGTATGGAATTCAGCCTATTATATCAGCCTTGCAAATAAACTCAAATAATTTACCCCCACATTCAGAATTTTCTTCTAAATTCTTCTCTTCTTACACAGGAACGTTACAGGTATTTAAATATTTTTATTCTTTTTTATACATGTGTAAAGTGTTAACTATTGGTAATTGTAAGTAACTTGCCTTTTTGTATTCTACATTTGCCATACTGTAACTACCTAAATATTTTATATCTTTGTCTTGTTTCCTGCACATATATACTGGAATGATTATGTTCATCTACATCTTTTTTGTAAATTTTAAGTGCTGTCTCATGTTTTTGAAGATAGTTAATATGTGCAGGAAAAAACATGGTATTATGTTTTGACAATAAAAAGAAATAGTAAATATATTTCTAATCTATACTATTAAAATGTATGTTCTTAAAAAATATCAACATTCTGATTTTATGGAACTCAATATACATACTAGATGACTTATAGTGATTACTAAATAAATGAGAAGCTTATACCTCTAAAATATTGACCTTTAAAATTTAAGATTTTTTCTTTTAATTGTGTGAGAGATACACCAGAGAGAAAGGGGCATGGTCACTGGGGCATGGTACACCAAAATCCCTTCCCATTTCTCTATCGTTGGCATTTTGGGCGGGCAGGCACTGTGTCCCGTGTTTGTTTCAAGTCTCCAGGGCTGGATTTGAACTGCAGTTGGTCGTGTGGGATCTGGCTCCATTAACCATAGTCAGTGGGGCTGGCATAGATTTTTTGTTCATTTGGTTTTTTGCCAGAGGGCGTGTGTGCTTCCCAGTTTGAGAGAGGGAAAGGGAAAGACACCCTAATGGGGCAAGATCATGCCACCGTTCTTTTTCCTCCTTTTTCTATCCCGTCACGACTTAGGACGTGCTTGTGCGTGTGCCTGGCATGCTACTCAAACTATCGGCTGGGATCTGAATCGCAGTTGGCCATGCGGGATCTCACTCTCTGTGCACAGTGCTTAACTGCTGTGCTACAGCTCGGTCTAATAAAATCTTTTTTTAATTATTAAGAAATTTCTTTTTATAAGCATAAAATGATACATATTTATACAATATGATTTTATAGTGCAGGAGTACAATGTATAATGATCCGTTCAGGGTAATCACCATACCTATCATCTCAACCATTTGTCGTTACTCGTGTTGGGGACATTCACAATCCTCCCTTTTACTTATTACGACATACGCACCAGGTGGTGGTCATCTGTATTCTGCGTTTTTTATATTGCTGTTATTCCTCCTATCTGCTGTTTTATTTCTGTTTGTCAACATCTCTCTATACTTCTGTCATCCTTTCATATCTCCAGTAGATGCTCTTCATCCCTCTACCTCTGTGAGGCCATTTTCTTTATCAGTTGCCATATACGAAGATCTTAATGTGGATGGAGCCATGTATGTGTAAAAATGCAAATAAAAGAAATGTTCAGTATTAAGTTCAGTGTTGGTTATTGTATGATTTAACTCTTATTTGCTACAAATATAAAAATAAAATGTTAAAAATGTAGGTATTGTTTTTAGATGTTACCTAGAGTCATTAATTAATTTATACAATATATAAACTTTTATTTCTTATAACTATGAAAAAAACCAAGGACATTAAAGTACCCTCTGTAAAGATGGAATCAATGGAAGAATTCGAAGGTTTGGATTCTCCAGAGTTTGAAAATGTATTCGTAGTCATGGACTTCCAGGGTTCTGTCTTCAGTGACTTACACAAGGCCGATTGTAGAGTTATTGGACCACCGGTTATATTAAATTGCTCACAAAGAGGAGAGGTAAGAAATAATATATAGTTACTATGGTTTTTCAAGATTAATTTTTCATTAATTTTAATAAGCAAAAAATTTACTCTAAAAATCCCGTTAATTGTTGAGAATATGAAATGTTTATGATAGGAATAAGATTGGCTACTTTAATGTTATCCTTTTATTCATATTATTGTAAACTTTAGTAGTGAAAATCTAAGATCTTTGAAAGTGAAACAGTGACAGCTGTTTATATGCACACACACAGAATCTTAGTACCTATGAAGTCTTACACAATAATAGCTTAAACTAGGGTTCCAGAAATGTATACACATTCATAACTTTTAGTCTCCTCCACACAGATTAGGTATCACTCTTCTGTTTTGCTATATAATTTAAAATTAGGGAAATTACTTTAGCTTTTTGTTTTTAAATAGCACATGGGTATGAGTGGTCATAGCTCCTATTTAGTTTTTAAAAAACGTTTTTTAAAGAATTGTTTTATTTACCTTTACTTACTCACTTCTTACACCAGAGAGTGACAGAGAGAGAGAGAGAGAGAGAGAGAAAGCTGCCAGGTCTTGAACTCTAACTTGAACCGTGGTTGGCCATGTGGGAGTCCAGCACCCTTAACCACCATGCTACATATTTTTTAGCTTATTTATTATTATTATTATTTTGCTATGGGACACATCTGTTTTTTGGGGAAAGATGGGTAGGGAGGAGTGAGAAATCACTCCCAGTGGAGGGGGATGGCTACACTGTACTCTTTACTTCTCTATTCTTCTGTCAGGATTTTGGGCATACATACACAAGTGCTTGGTGTGTTTTTCAAGCCATTGGGTTCAGGACCCAAGCAGTACAGTCAGCCATGTGGGGTCCAGCCACCTCAACCACCACTTCGCTGGCTGGCCCCCAATTCTTTTGTTTTTTTAACTATATTTTATACTTTTTTCTAAAAGTGACGGAGAGAGAGAGAGAAACAGGGAGGCAGCATTCACAGTAAGGTCTTGACACTGCGATCCATCCCTCGCTTAAACCGGCCCCTAATCATAGGCTTGTGTTTGACAGACGTGCTCAGAGAAGTCTCTGGATGCTCACCTGGCCTGTCCTCACGTGGGTTAGCCTCACAGAGCATCATGTGCCACTTGTGCCATTGTCCAGCCCTGTTTTGCCATTCCTAAGCCTGCCATATCCATGTAAAATTGCTTGTCATTCCTTCTATCATTATGCTCATAATAAGTACATCCTAATCTTTATTTCTAAAACGTTTGATTCAGAGGTGTTGCTTTCAAAAATCAAACTTTCACAGATCCAAATTGTAAAGAATCTTCTTACATAATAGTGCAAATCAAATATAATCATTTGTTTTTCCCAACCATCTTCTCTTGCTCTCGTGTGTGTCTGTAAAACCATTGGGTAGATCATTTACTGAATATCTTTGGTTTTTAGCTTACATTGAAATTATATTTGATTCAAGTATATGTAAAAATTAGTATTATGTTTAATTTGTTGATAGTAATGGTTAAGTTACATGTATCAAATATTATTTGAGAATCTTGGGACTTTTTTATTATGAAAATTGAAATCTTTATTATTTTTTTGTAGTGTTTTGAAAAATGTTAGTAGGTCTTTGATTGTGAAAATTGATTGGGTAGGAAATATCTTTTTTGTTTGTTTTTTTACGTTTTTGCCACAGAGCCCTTGTGCTCACTGGAGAGAGACAGAGACAGTGAGGGAAAGTGAGAAAGCACCTTCGAGGAGGAATGGCCAGGCTGCTATCCCTTCTCCATGTTACTTTTGGGATTTGGGGCACATCCACACATGCACTCAGCATGATTTTAAAGCTGTTAGATCCAGGACTCGAACCATGGTTGGTCATGTGGGAGTGCAGTGCATTAACCACCACACCACCTGCTGGCCTTGAGACGGAATACCTTTAGCTTGAGAAATCAGTGTACCATTTCCTACTAAAAGGAAAACTCACAGATTTGAAATTGTTGTATCCTTCAGGCTTTGCCATTTTCATGTCGCCCGCTGTATTGTACGAGTATGGTGAATCTAGTACTGTGCTTTACCGGGTTCAGGAAGAAGGACGAGCTAGTAAGTATTATAACACAAATTCTACTCAAGGGGCTTCTTTCCATCAAAATAGACTTAAATTGGCTTTCCTTTTTGGTCTCATGGTTTTATTTTTAAAATATTGAAAGAGAAAATACTAGGGCTATACCAGGTTTTAAATTTTGTGAAGAAAAATTCTGAAGAGCCTTGTAAGGAAACATGTTTTGTCTAGGATGACTGGCGTATGAATTAACAGATGCTATCTTGTTGTTAAGTATCATATTGGCCACTTGGTTATTTGAAGTTTTTTGTTTATACGTGCAGTTTTTTGTATATAAGTTTGCCTTAAGGTATTCTGATTACCCTAGATAATTCATTGAGTTTATTTTCTTTGGTTCCTAATATTTTGTATGTTGGAGCTAATGGATATTAATTTTGTGGACTGAATCTTGATGTCCTATAACTTGGTGTTAAAACAATTATTTTTACGCAGTGTGGTATTTAAAAAAGAAGCAATGTACTTAGGCAGTATGAAAGCTAGTTTAATTAACTTAGTTTCCTGTGATCTTCCTAAGCTTACTTGTGCAAGTTTGCCTGTGCTAGTGAGTAAGCTAATCTTTTCTTATCTTTATAAAACTCTTTATCTATATCTTAAAAATAAAAAGTATTTAGTAAATGTTAAATGAATTCTAAGCATAATTTTAAATTTTTAATCATAAAGTCATTGTTGCTTAATTCTTCTTTTGAGGTCAGGTTGGTGACATTGGTCCATCACATGGGTGGAGTTATTCGAAAAGACTTTAATTCAAAAGTTACACATTTGGTCGCAAATTGTACACAAGGAGAAAAATTCAGGGTATGTAAATTTGGATATTTTTGTGTATTTCATTATAGTAGTATTTGGGGGTGGATTTAATAATATTTTCCTCGTCTATTTTTTTCTGCAGTTTATTGAAGATCACAAGTTGAGTTTTTGCTATGAGTATATTTAGTAAAATTTTAAATCATAGGAGTGTGATCCCTTGGGGTGTTTTTTCCTTTGCTCATGATAGAGCGTTTGTGCGCTCACGTGAGAGTGTGTGTGAGAGAGAGCACACCCCGCAGGGTCACGCCTGGTTCTCGTCCCTGTAGTCTCCACCCCGTCAGAGCTTGGGCTCTTGTGCGTGTTCCTGGCAGGGATCAGACCATGGTCCTCAAGTCGGATGTGACTTCTCTGGAGCAGAGCATTGGAGTGCAATGCCATGGTGCTGGCCTGACCCCTAGGTTTTACGAGGGCAGTAGACGTTGAACTAGGTACTGAAAGATCGCAGATTTCTGAGGGTTGGTAGATGTATTACACTGGATGGGTGAGTAGTATTAGCAAAGGTTATTACGATCATTGGTAAATGAGAGTCAGGTAATGTGGGAGCAGATATTTTATACTCTTAAGTTTAAGTGGCCATGTAAGAACAGAGCTCAGTTCTTATAAAATAGTTCTAAGATTTGACTCGAGAAAATTGTAAAACAGGAGACAGTACTCGTATTAGAATTGAAACCTCAGTTTAAGATTGTAGTTGAAGCCCACCATGGCGGCACAGGGGGTCGGGGCACCACGGTGTATGCTGGAACTAGAACAGAGGGCTCTGAGTCTGGGTCTCGGGTTGCCCTGGGCACATTGTGTGCTGGTGACCCTGGAAGGTCGAGGGGAGAACACGTCTTGGTGAGATCGTATGGAAGGTCCTCCCTGTCTCTTGGTTATGAAGTGAATCAATAAATCTTTCTTTTCTTTCTTTCTTTCTTTTTTTTAAGAAAAGGACTTTAGTTGAGTATCCTAGCAAGAGTTTATCATTTGTTCTTACCCTCCTCTCAGTGTGTTTATGTAGCAAATAGTAGTTTTAGGGTACTATTGAATTTACCTTAAACTTTCCATCTGATAGCTACAGTTTTAGTGACTTAGGTGTTTTCTCCTGTAGTGCTGTCTTAGGGGTCAGTACCAAGGAAATAAACATGAAGAAAGGAGAAACAGAAATTTCACTAAAATGCACTTACCAGCTTCAGAGATCTAGTGGGTCGTTGGAAAATTCATGACATGTATTTTCTAGGTTTTTATATGCAAAAAATGCATCACGACTTTTTCGACGACCCGATATTTACTTAAATTAAAATAATGAAACAATTTGGACACCATGGAACTCATTTTAAAGTTATTTTAACCTAATTTATAGGATTGAAACAGAGGTTTATTTGTTTTTAGGTTTTTGTCATAGGGCATGTGCACTTGTCAGAAATGAGAGAGACAGAGAGATTCAGAGAGAGGGAAATTGAGAAGTCACTCCTAAGGGGGGATGGCCGCACTGCAGTTCCTTCTCATTCTCTTAGGATTTTGGGCATTGATGCACATGTGTCCAGCATAATTTCCTTTATTATTTATTTATTTATTTTTTTAAGAATTGTTTTATTTAACTTTATTCATTTATTTATTTATTTTAATTTGACCAGAGAGGGACAGAATGAGAAAAAGAGGGAGGGAAAATGAGAAAGCAAGTTGCCAGGTCTGGGATTTGGACCACAGTCAGCTGTGAGTGCCCTTAACTACCATACCGCCTGCCGGCCCTCTCTCAGCATGATTTTCAAGCCTTTAGGTCCAAGGCTTGGACCATGGTTGGCCTTGTGTGAGTCCAGCATCCTAACCACTATCTTCCCTTCTGGCCCCTGAAAAACAGTTTTTTCTGTTAATTTTTCTTTATATTTTGTTATAAGGCAGATGAATGGTGATCTAAAACTATACAAAAAGTGTATATATAATTGCGTAGAACTTTTTAAAATGCGGGTGTTTAAGGTGAAAATACATTATAATTAGTATTTGTAATTGTAGGTTGCTGTGAGCCTAGGTACTCCAATTATGAAGCCAGAATGGATTTATAAAGCTTGGGAAAGACGGAATGAACAGTAAGTGTTCGAAATCCAATAATTATGTGAATTAAACATACTGTGTTTTAAAAATAAGTTCACGAGTGAAAAAAACTAAACTCATATAGTATAAAAACTGAATTCAATCTTTGGGTAGCCTAGGGAATAAAATCTAGAAAGAACAAAATTATAAGAAGAATTGTTGAAAATTGAAAGACATTTGTGATATCTTTGGATTGTACCTTGTGAATATATGTTTTTTTAATTGCCAGAGAGCTGTACTTTTTTGACAGAGATGGGGGGTGGGGAGGGACGTACCCCACAGTTGGCATAGTCATGCCCCAGTCCCTTCTCCATCCTGTCAGAATTTTGGGTCTCCACTTCTGCCTGGGAGAGTCATAGTAACCCCCTTCCAGTCTTTGTCTCATTTCCACTACACTAAGTGTTCGCAGCCATGCGAGATTGCGTATTTCATCTACTGATCTGTACTTTCTTATGCACCTGTAGTAGTAGTGGGTTGCGGAACAGTCAGATGTATTTTTCTGTTTTTCCATGCAAAATGTGTCATGACTTTTCCAAAAGCCCAGTATTTAGAACAAATAAAAATGATAACGCAGGAGTTGCATTGTGTTGTGGTGTGTTTGGTGCCTTCTGGTTCTCACCTAATGTATGCTTTTTGTGTGGATAGAATTACGTTGTTCCAGTGTGGTGTCACGTGATAGCTACTGAAAACAAAGCACATATCCTACGGTGTCTCCATGCAGCCACACCGCCTTCGAGCTCCTCGCTCATCGAACAGTTCGCTCAGTGACCTAGTCGTGAGAGCAGAACTGTCATTAAGTGAGGAGTACCGGATTTTAAGACCAGATTTATGCACTTTCAACAACTATATTATGCTAAGACCTTGAAATTACTGTAGACTCATAGACTGATATACCTAATTATTTGTATTTAAGTTAAACTGATTTTAGAGGTTTATATTTTGGTTTTAGGGATTTCTGTGCAGCAGATGATGATTTTAGAAATGAATTTAAAGTTCCTCCATTTCAAGATTGTGTTCTAAGTTTCCTGGGATTTTCAGATGAAGAGAAAACTAATATGGAAGAAATGACTAAAATGCAAGGTAAAATTTAACATAATTTAAATGTTATATATCATTCCCCAGACCTGCCCAGTACTTACTGTGTTCTTATACAATCGAAATCTCTTCCTGGATCACTTTAAGCCTTGGATCAGGGGACCGGTAGTCTGACTGACTCGTGCTCGTTTGCGCTCCTCTGTAGGAGGTGACTATTTACCAGTTGGCGATGAAAGGTGCACTCACCTCGTGGTTGAGGAGAACATAGTAAAAGAACTTCCGTTTGAACCTTTGAAGAGACTTTATGTTGTCAAGCAAGAGGCAAGTCATTACAGAATGAGATTAGTTTTTTAAAATATTACTAGTAACTCCTGGTAAGGTACATTTAAACTCCTAATTAAAGTGTTTTTTCTCTCACCTAGTGGTTCTGGGGAAGCATTCAAATGGATGCCCGAGCTGGAGAAACTATGTATTTATATGAAAAGGTATGCTTTTTTGCCCCTTAGTCATTTGTTCTGATGAACTTAATTATATGAAACCAACATTTTTCTATCCAAAAGGCTTAGAGAACAGGGTATAATAGCATACATCTTTTATGCCATGTTTAGGTGTCTCAGAATAATTAAACAATTGGTTATTGAGTAACGATATTCATAGTCTATGTAGATTTAAGTGGAACTGTTCAATATAATGAATAATCGTTTAATTTACTATGTATTGCTCTGTGCTAATTCTTAGTGATTCTGTTATGAACAATAACATCCCTGTCTTTAGAAACTTAGAACCTTAATGGAAAGTTAGATTTGTAAACAGTAGTGGTGTAGAGTGACGTGTTTGTTCCACAGTTGAGTAATGTGTACTGGGAAGCCTCACTCCGATGCAGCAAGACTGGAAGGGCGAACATCGAGTGGTGACTTAGGCTTGCTGGGTGAGGACGTGCACGTTAGAACAGCACGTGGGAGAGGCTGTGCGAGCTCGAGCATGTACTAAAACAGCAGGTGGCTTAGGGTGGCTTTTAAAAAAGGCCGACAGATAAAGCATAACAGGTAGAATCAAGAAGTTTTTCATGTGGAGAAGTTGGAAGTTTTTTAAAAAGAGTTATTTATTTAATTTTGTTTATCATCATCATCATTATTTTAGGGCTTTTTTTTTTTTTTTTTTTTTTTTTTTTTTTTATGGGTC